TACACATCTTGGGGAGAAGGTGTGTCGCGTACTAAAACCAGGTCACTGCGACCTTTATTTGACCTTGACCTTGATCTTGATCATATTTCCCTTCAGCTCTATATAACTCGGTCTCTAATTGACCTCGCACGAGCAAACTTGGTATACTTACACATCTTGGGGAGAAGGTGTGTCACGTACCAAAACCAGGAGATATTTCATTCATACTAGATCGCGGGGGATACATGTGGTTGGCGACAACTGCAATTTCTAGTTATAACTATGATTTGTACAAAAGCTGTATATTTATTTTAATCATAAAACTACAGTCTTTCAAGAAATAGTTTTTGATTTATATATCATATATACAATAACATGCGGTTCAAGTACGTGGCTAATGTAATTGATCTCGTTCTCCTATTTTCTGCTATTACTTATTCGCTTATTACTTACTTTTATATTATATTTTACTTATTACTTTCTTTGTCCAGGGCCGCCACCATCCAACGACGTTTGGGCATTATGTTGAACTTTAACATTGTGGCGCCATCTTGTGTGGGGGAAAAATTAAAAGTGCACATGGAATAAACCAGATTCGGTCACCTAATTTAAATCGGGCTTCGCCACGATGTGACGGGCTTCTCTTTCGCGAGATCTCGCGCGTTCAATAGACACGGGTATATATATTATATTTGTAATAATGCATGATCGTAGCAAAGTTTTACAATGACAAGTTTGACGAATTATTATGGGAAATGCGTATAGCAGATTCCAGCGTTTGAATTCTCGTTTCTATAATGAAAGTATTATAATTTAGTTATAAAATTTCATGTATTCCCTAATAATTTACAAGGTTGTTTAGACAGATGCACTTTATAAAGGCATATGAATAATGTTAAAATTATAGTCAATAATTTACTGACATGTAAAGCGGCTATTGCTCAATTTTGCATTTCAACTACGCATGCTCGGTAACCATATTTTGTAACCAGGTCTTAGATTTATCTACAAAACAAACTCGCTACACTGTAATAACATAATTAAGCAGCGGGCTGTTTCTTTTGAAAAAGTCCATGTGTTGGAATTTCATGTGTGATTCAAGTATGGCAGCTAGACACTGTGTCATTGAGAACTTACTGAGAACTTTATTTTTAAATATACACATATAATAATAGATTTAATACTATTACTTATAGATACATATATAATATACAAATATTTATATAGTCATTGTATTCTGTAACAGTGTTTGTCAGTTTATTTGACAAATTACTTTACAATAAAATTTTACATTACAATTACAATTTTACATTAAAATTTTACAAATAAACATTACAACCCAATGCAGCAGTCTATCACATTAATCATCTGAGTATAATAAACTGCTGTATGATCTCGCACACTGCCCTTACACTCCACGACCACAACTGCATCAAAATGTTACATAAATTACGAAAATATGTAATATGAAGAGGAATGACTGTAGCTAACATATGTACATTTAAGATATCTCTCTGGTCAAGATTACTGTGAAAAATCAGTCAGGAGTATCTATGTAATTATCGTGTAAAATTTAATAAAATGTTTAGTTAGTAAACTGTCTGGCCGTCACAATCGGACAACATTTGCCAGCACATTCTTCAGTTTATCGGCGGGGTGTAAAGTGCTATCACCATTGTCACCCTGTGTTGCAAGAGCAGTCTCCAGCAGAGATGCTATTTTGCTTGCCTTATTCCCATGGATACCAATAGCTGTGCAATACTCCTGTGCATCTAGCCATGAGGCAATCTGCACGTCAGAGTCATGAGAATATGTTGCCTGTAAGCAAAAAATGCAGCATTTCACTGAGATTTCTGGCCAAGCATCTATACAGGGAACCCTCATGATCCGACCTCTATAAAGACTGGCCATGACCTAGTCACTATATACACGCCATCATCCAACCATTACTCTCATGTTGTTCACACATGATGCAACCTCAATACAAGAGATTGTCATACGCTGACCTCTGTACAGGCGATGCTTATTACCTAATCTCTATACAACTCTACTTCCATTTTAACTTACAATAGCAGGTTTACAGGTTTACACAAGCTACCCTTATCAGCAGACAATATTAAGATTGCAATGGGGATCCTAATCATGTCTATATCTCGAGGCTAGAGGTAAATGATATTCAATTTCTGAAAAGTACAGCAACGCATTTACATACCATGTGAATGATGTCAGCTGTGAGTGATAAACCTCCTTCAGAGCAAACCATAAACAACAGAAGGATGTGACTGATCACGCACCGCGACGTTTCCTCTGCAGAAGAGATGGTGCTGATGGTAGGAATATCTCTTTGCTCTAAATGTGTTTTCGACATGACCGCCCGGAGACCAGAGCCAAAGGCCTTCACTTCACTCTGCACACAAGCAAACATGTCTGAGCTGTAGTAATGAGACGATAAAGGTACTGCATGTCTAGTAAGTTTTAAGAACCCTAGGACTCTTTGTTTGGTTGCGATATGAAGACATTAGAGTAGGTTATGATAGTTTTCGAATGACACTGTAGGTCCACTATTGTCTGAAGCTATCAGTTTTATACGAATACAGATGTATTTCCAGTGTACCCCTGTGATGTTGTAAGCTATTGTGTCACAACTTTTTTTTTAATTGTGTCATGGACCAATCACAAATTACATATCAATGTTCTCAGCATTCTAATTCACATTTTTGTATACCAGAGATTCAGTAGAGGGTAGATTCCGGATACCATCATGGTAACTCCACGCGACACGTAGAAATACATTCATGTCCTGAAACAGGCATAAAAGTGATATCTGGCTTTTATAGTGGCTGAGCTAATTAACACCCACTTATAATCTCTATTCCTTTGCACAGAATCTGCTGAGAATAGGCTGCTGTGGATTGCAGTAGCTACTGCAGGTTATTCTGTGATTTGCTGCACCCACGATTGTCATCACCCATCTACAACGTTTCAACTGACAATGTCAACAGACCAATATTAGCAAATAAGTCCTCTGTCCAGTCTCATGCTTTTTAAACAACGAACATCATTTTGTGATCTTCAAACTCACAGAACGAGTACTGAATAGGAGACTCACACTTTCACAGCCATATAGCAGCAGGATTAGGCTCATGTAGTACCATCCAGAAAACTGAATGAGAGTAAAGAGCAGACCAGTGGACATACCAGTCCCCGTGCTTACTGCTTTATTCAACTGCTCCCAAATCCTATGCAGATACAACTCACAAACTGGCAATGGCAGGTCTATGGAATCAGCAAAAACAACACCAATGTGAGCAGTATACTGTCAGATTAGTTACCCATTGCAACGTAGGTTCTAAAATACAATTCAAGAGGTTACAAAAAGTACATTTTAATGTGAAAATGTAAACACTCATCATACAGTATCACATATTTTACAGCATTATTTGTGGTGCTGAATTGTAACGAGGGATCACCTGTATATAATTTTGTTTTCTAACAGAAGAGTGAGAACAAATAATATTCTAACATGAAAGAGCCAAACCAACCAACCTTTAGGTGAAACCATCAAAAGATTTACCAGTGGTCTCCAACATTTCTGGTATGCTTCCAAAATGCACCTCTCCTGAAACAGAGATTGACGTTAATACAAGATAATACTAGACATATGATTGACTTCTAATTACAATTCTACATCACAAAATAAAAACAACAACAATGTAATATTATTCATTAATCACTCCTTCTGTCTACAATCATAGGTTTTCATATTGGAGATAGCTTACAGCAGGAATGGTGCTGGTAGCCTCCTGCCTGACACACTCACTGAACCAACCTATGATGGTGGTTAAATGAGGAGCTTGTTTTGACATCTCCCACAAGGAGTGCCACATGTCAATGACTAAACTGTACAAATGTGCGCTCCTACTGCAAGCCATGGGCTGAAATAAACACGTTTAAGAACGTCTGTGAAGTTAGCACAGTTTTATATACATTGAGATTAGTAGAGGCTAGTAAAATCAGAAAGTCTGTATGACAATTTCATGTACGTATGTCTAGTTTTAACTTCTGCTTCTTTTACAATGTAAACATTATTAAAAATAAAAGTATCTTCCATAATTATAATTATTAAAGTTCTGCTATATTTCAATACGTTATAATGGCTCTCATACCAAAAACTCACAACATGTAACAAGTTTTTAAAGTGCTGTTTTGATTGGGTAACACTATTTATATCAAAAGATCATATTCCTGATCCTGGTATATGAGAACGACTCTACTAGGTGGCTGCATAGTTAATAATGCTGAAACATCAGAATTTAGTCGCATGAGGATTAGTTACCATTTTCCTTCTCTGTATCACTTTAATAGCTACTTGCTTGGATATGGCCTGCTTCTCTGCTAGGGCTTCCAACATCCATAGCAACTCTTGCTCCAGAGTAGGTATATGGAGCAGCCAGAGGGCCCGACAAATGTCATCACTCAAACCACAAGCATCTGAAATAAAAACCTGTTCTTCTGCTAAAAGGCAATGTAAATCTCTTGCTACCTGCTTAGAAAGTATTTAGACTTGAGACTGAAGTTATTGTTTCATTTGTATAACAAGCACACTCTCTCGCCAAACAATCTCAACTACTAAGGTGATCTGATCATCAACAAAATATGCACATGTATTATGCAGTATTATATGGAGTGTATTATCAATAGCTGATCAATATTAGAATGTACAATGGCTATTTGTGAAAAAAACCATTTCATAATTTTAGGAAAATCATCATGTACTGTATCACTCACATGATCCACATGTTCGCTGGTCCCTGTACACATTGGTGATTAACCCCGGGATAGCCATGACCATCTGCCTCAGGTTGCCATCAATTTTTGATTGAAACTGCACTTCATTTTCGACAGGGTAGAGCATCTGATCATCTGTGTTCTTGCAGACACATTCAGAAAATATGCTGAAAAACTGTAAAAGACCACAAAGAATCATTTATCATGACGAGAATATGGGTTTCCTAGAATTAAATCGCTATTTTGCACAGTATTATTTAAAAATGTTATGTTATATAATATTTGTGTAGAATTTCATTATGTGACTACAATATGTCCACAAGTAGTCCTTACAAGATGTATGAACCAAATGAATTTCAGCAGTGTTGCATTACAATAAAAGTGCACATTAACCCTTACAAATTATACCACTTCACACCTTTTCAACCTGTCAACCTTTACCATTCAAAGTTTTTCACACAACAGCACATTAACCTGATGAGTCTAAATTCTTAAAATCCACCAAATACTACATTTTAAGAACTATAATATACCTTTGATACATATATAATATCTAATGATGTTTACTAATTTCGATAATTTTTTATTAATAAGATTGAGAATATTGTAACAGCTATATATGTAAATTTAGAATAATGAGCATTATTAACATTATCTTATGATTGTCAAAATCGACACCAGACAAACGCTCTATAGTAGCTAACCCATTTTGCCTTGGGGGGCCAACGTCACGTGCACATGTTGAGTGGGGTGTGGGGGAGTGTGACAACCAGTGACCAAGTACTGTATTTAAATTTCTCAAGCCCCCCCCCCCCATCTAGCTATGTCCCTGTATCACTACTATGTTTTATGCATCTGTGAGTAGAATGTCTACTTTAGGACATGGGTTATGTCAACTTGGGTGTCAGATGGCAATCAAGTTCATATTCAAGAGGCATATATACGCAATCACTCATTTGTCACACTACACATACGTTTGTCAGTACTTGCTTTTTCGCATCCAAACGTGAAATACACAGCACTGGGGATAGGTCACTAGTCGCTGTGTCCTCACCATGCTGCATGATTAGCTTTAGTTGACACTGAAAATAATTGATCACAGATAATATAACGAGTTAGCACGTTTAGTATTGATTAAATAATTACATAATATCCTCATAAAATTAAAAGTAAATTATAATAGCTCTAATAGTTTATCACAACTCCAGTAATACTAATTGTCTAAATACCAAATAATAGTATGGAATGCGATTTAGGAAGAGGCGGCACGTTCACAAGCAACATGTGAGTATTAAAGGAATAATAGGCCCATTGATTATGCAAAGTTGACGAATGCTACAGTAACTGGCATCTTGTGTAGTTAATAAGTACATTACTTTATAACCAAATGCGTATTAGTTTGTCCAATATCACTGCTGGTTACTAAGAAATGTCTAATTGAAATCCGTAGTCCAAGAAATCAGTTGACTGACTTGTTTACAGTTTTCGAAACCGCATATGGCGAAACGGGTGTGATACAGATTTATAGTGCACTGGCCATTTTCGCACACATGCTCGGCCGTACGCAATGCTAGCGATGGTACAGTACCGTAACTGTAGCTCTGATTGTAATGAACGTGGAATCCACGTATGAATCACGGACGCTCGTGATAATCAAGTAGGCTGTGTTAGGGGCCAACACTGTGGGGGGATCGCGGACTAATCACCGCCACAGACTAAACATGGAAAGCAGACGGCACTACGCGTATTTACGTATATTGGTCAAACGAATACACCTGTGTCCGAAATTGAAGACACGTGGAGCACCCACAGTTATTTACTTGTGCCTCAATACCGAGAATACACCCAGAGATACATTCTACTAGCTCATTAGTTGTTATATGCATCCTGGGACAAACAATTCTCTGCTCAACACCCGTAGCAACATGTGACGTCACCTAACCGAATTCGAGGCTATTTTGCTTGGCAACCAATTTAGCGTTGGCTCCAGATTACCAGATTTACGGATTTCAATTAGACATTTCTTAGTAATTAGCAGTGATATTGGACAAACTAATATGCGTTTGGCTATAAGATAATGTACTTATTAACTACACAAGGTGCCAGTTACTGTAGCATTCGTCAACTTTGCATAATCAATGGGCCTATTATGCCTTTAAAGAAGCGGAGTGCTTTAAATCCTACCATTGACCACTGGTTAGCTTCACTCTCCAGTTGAGTGACTGGTGAGGGCTTTAAGAACCACAGGAGACAATTATAGACTGCGATGCACAAGTCAAAATTAATCAACAGGAAGGGCTCTTCACATACTTTAGCCAACAGTTTACCAGTGTTTGGAAGATCCAATGTAACTGCAGCAATATTGCCCTGTAATCCAAAACAACCATGTGTGAACATATAAGTTATATCATATTAATTACTGAGTACAGTGAAGATGACTGTTCTCCCAACAGGATATGTGGAACTTGTGAACAATAATTATTAAATTATGTATAAAAAATCATTAGACTATAAAATAAAAATGTGGTGTTCTGAGCACACTGTATATATGCACGATAGACTATTACCATTACACTAAAATCTATATGTGCCTCATGAGAAAACTGCTAGATGGTTTACAACATCACCCTATTAATTTTATTGAGAGTCACACCAACTATAGTTTCACATGTCATTAGTTTTTATTAGATTAAGAAACAAGGTAATTTTGCATGATAGTGCATGCTTCAGAACAGGAACACCAACTTTCACTGAATGGTGCAAACTAGCTATAATGCCTTGCTTTTCTCATTTGTCTGTAACTTCTGTTTCAACTTTACAATAAAAAGTCAGCAGTGAAGTCTGATGTCTGCACGTCATGCAACAATTAAATAAGTATTTGAAGTGGGGGTGCTGATCTAGGAATTCATAAGGGCCTGCATGGTAACCAGTGCTATTGTAACTATTTGGTAACACAGAAAAGTACCATTTGTGCCCATTTTATCTAAACTCAGATATGCGAATCAATCTATGTTTTGGGATGAACAGCATGATGTTTTCTGCCTGACAAACCCCTGCAAAATCCACGGACTAGCCCTCAACTGCAAGTTATTAGTACTAAAAGACCATTGCCATTGGGTGCAACCACTTGCTGTGGCTGTTGTGCCCAAACTTGGAATCTTGCACAAACTTGGAATTTCAGCGCATCCGCAGTTTGGGCAACCAATCTTGAGATTGGGCAAACGGAGGTAAACAGAGCTTACACAAACATATGATTATTAGGATTTCAAATGTTATATCATAACTATAAAGTCGTATACCTTCCTTCCTCAATGTGTTTGGCACCTTTGTATAAATATTAAATGATTATAATAAATAATTGGATAAATATGAGATAAATCTCTTCCTAGTTTGCACCACGCACACCACACATTCGCTATAAGCGGTTGTTGAATCACCGACTGTTTTCAGTTTGCCAAATCTTGAGATTGGTCAGCCAAACTAGGCAATCTGCAGTTTGGGCAGCACAATCGTTGCACAATCACGAGATTGTGCAGATTCCAAGTTTGGGTACGACAGCGCCGCCAGTAAAGTTGATGAAATTACTTTAAAGGTAATGTGGTCTGTGAGTGTGAATAGAGGCTGTACAGTGTACTGTAGTGTAGAATCAGTGTGAAGTATCATGACATGATTGTACCAAACTAGCTCTGGTACTATAGAGCTCCGAAGTGATGACGTCACGGTGGCATGACAACGAACCTACTGGTTCTACACAATCATATGCTCTGGTAACATTAACTGCGTGTCGTGTTTTGTAGAGTCCCTTTATATTGAGAGTTGCGACAACTCGCAATTAGAAACCATATTCATATTGTTTCCAAACGGATCCACACCGCTGCTAGTGCTGCTTAAGTACAGCGCTTTATGGATACGCTGTACAATGGTCCGTAGTAATTAATTAGACTAATCGTGCTTCAATAAACTCAAGAATCACAGTGATCATAGATAACACATGTGTTTATATGTATCTAAATTTTTAGAAATTTAACTAAAATTGTTTCGCGCCATATTGATAGTTTAAATATGTACACTTTCTTTACGCCCATAGCCGTGCGTATATTTCTGATGTGCGATACCGCCGCGTAGATATTTTGCTGAATTAATGAAACCTACAATGTGTTTATATGTAATCTAGATTCAAAAAATGTAAGTCAAATCGATGACAGCACGTGATGGATACGCGGTGAAGATTAAGTGGAAGATGCGCCCAGCTGATATGCGCAACCTCCAAGCAATATTTTTTATTAAATATATATGAGACATATATAGCAGATTTTATAGACATTTTCGCTTATAGCTTCTAATAAAAACATTGCCTCCCCCGATGTCACAGACTAGTATAATCACATATTTTTTGTCAACAACTATACATGTATTACATCTCTATTACTCTATTATACTTACAGTCCACTCACGAAAATATAAAATTACGAGCACACGTACACGCAGCTACTTGGCACATCAGCACTATACTGCACAACTGCACGCCTCACTACAAACAACCAGAACACACACTCAAAACACAAACAGACAAATCTCACATGTAGTTACACAAGCATCACATAACATACATAAGCACAGAACCATGCAACCGGACCCGGACATCCATTCTGCCCACCTCTTTACAATGATACATGCACTAATGCACAAATTATATCACACATGCAAACATATGCTATCCAAAAACCAATTGCTTCGATCCGCTCACTCTACAATAATAGCAAAAATTCAACGATTTAGGGGAACTGAAAAAAATCAAATACATGTACGTTCTGCTAATGATGATAAATTTATTTATCTCAAAGCCATCTTGCTGAGATTACCACGATACAACTTAAGCATAAAGATACTCACTCCTATAGGGCCATTTTGCTCATCAATATCCATAACATGTTTTTTTAACTATATAACATTGCTAGGTGTCATGCATACACAAACATATTTAAAAATTGGATCTTTCATACAATTGACATAGACTTTTACTTGCCCCGTGCAATCGCGAAACTTGTTAGTGTCGAGGGCCTGCGAATCCCTTTATATGATTATCTCAATCAATATTAATTTTACTGTCTAAAATAGCTGGAATGTAATCTTAACAGATCGACAAGAAACTATGATATCTTTTCATTTATTTCAACAAATAGTTCAAATGGTGCTTCATAATAACAAAATTTATGACATATCACCCCCCCCATAATATCACCTATCACATGAAATGTGGTGAATGCCTCACAATTGCCGTTGACATTCCACCAAATCTAAATCACTTTTAATTCTTTTCTACTTCGCATAGCCATACTTTTACTACCAATTCTCCACCCTTCTCATTCTTGCTGCCCTTCCTGTCTGCACCTCGACATTTCTTTTCCTGCAGTAGAAAATGCAGGACGCGGCATTAATAAATCTTCCAAGCAGTTTTGATTTAACCTTTGACATGCCTCGGCAGTTCAACTTCATCGTGCATTTCTATTGGCCTTGTCAATAGCTCGGTTGTTGAGCGATTATCCCCTGTCCATCAATGTGTCCTGAGAATTTTCGAAACAATGAGTCGACCTGTAGGGAACAATGTCAAATACTGCATCGGCAACATGTACAAGGGAACCTTCCTTGTTTTCTTCAATACAGTAAGTCCCGATGCTGATGTACTCCATCTTCTGCGTCCGTGCAATGACACTGGTTATCGCACGTACGCACATTGTTACTTTCATTTCGCTTGAATTCGTGAACGCAGTAACCCTGCTAGGTTGTACAGACTGTCAAGTCTCAGCTTGTGAAGATCCTCTAAATATTCTTTCATCCGAGAAAGGCTGACATGCTGAATTTGGCGCTCCGATGAATCTGCACAGTCTGGTCTGACGAAAGTCAGCGCAGGAACTTCCCCATCATCCTGCTGATAGCTCCCAGAGCGTCGAATTGCGTCAGGGAACTGCGTGCAGTACTGATTAATTTCAATGAGTATTTGAACTCGAGAGGGGATGGGCACTGGCTTTTCGAGACGCACAACGCGGAACAAATTCTCAAGACAGTCCTGGAGTTAATCTCGACGTCAAAGGACTGCATGCGCCCTGCATTCAGCAACTCCTCAGCAATGCGAGGACTGATGTAGTAGACAGAATTACATCCTGTCTGCTGGATGGGTTCCACTCCCCTTTGCCTACTCGCAAACCTTCGAGACTTTGCATAAACACTACGCAGAAGAAATCTCACCACTTCGTCGCTACTATCAGCATGCAGTCTACTCAGTGAAATTAGAAAAATTAGAACAGACATATTCGTATACTATTACTGTATAGATCTACACTTCAAATTTCACACAATAATTAGATAGAATTAGAAGTCTATGACTTCTAACACATGCTTTTTAATGGAAAACTGTATTGTGCCCATTATATATTATTAACATTTCAAATTTATTAATGATATATATTAAGTTTTGACTATGACTACCACACACACCTGTACTTACTTCACACTGAAGACGCGATGACGAGGTCGGATTTCCATCCTTCGCGACTGACTTTACTCACCCAAATTTTCTCCTTTGCGGAATCTGCAGGGAACCTTACGTTTTTGTATCCCTGCCGCTCATGATCTATTTACTGCCACCCAAAGGCGCAGCAAACCAGTCATTAAATGACAATTTATATTTACGCTACTCAATAGCAGAAAAAGACGGAATGACGCTCACCGAAATGAAAAGCTTGCTGGTACGGTGAACCAAAATGGCTCCTTGCTCACGTGACATGATTTTCGCGGGACGCTCATTTCGCAACTCTCAATTTTTGCTACCCGATTGTAACCGCATCATTCTCAGAGTAGTATTGCAGTTTTTAATAGCATTTCCAAGAGAAGTGAAAAGCAACGAAAAAAAAACGCACATACATTGTTCACGCAGTTAATGTTATGGAATGCCAGATGGCATTGTGTAGAAACCAGCCCGTACGTTGTCTTGCCAACGTGACGTCACACTTCGGCGTACTCTATATATATCTGGATAGCGTTGCCCTATGGTAGAGAAATACATTCTGTTTATGATACCTTTATTATCATTTTGGTGAGGGTTCTATTGGCCCCTCACCAAACATATAAAAAAACTAGGGTATAATGCCGCCGGAAAAAATTATTCGTCTAGCCCCTATGGTAGCAATCGACTGATCGAAATAATCGATCACTGAATCGATATAATCGAAAACAAAAGCTCTCGCTTTAATCGCGAATAGTTGGAAACCCACTTAACATGTATAAACGAAACCTGAAAATACGATGGCGCTATGCAAATCATATTTACATTAAATAGAACTGCATAAAATGCTGCGAGGGGGATACTGCTTTAATGGGTAAGGAAGAAGTAAATAATGTAAACAATACGGGATAAACGAGGTTCACCGAGAACGCGGGCGGGGTCCTGTGAACAAAATATGGGTAACTACATAGACAATAAAAACAATTAAACTTAGACTAGGATATTTTCAATGGACACAAGAGTCAATGAACCTCACAAGAGCATAGTTTAGTAAAATGTATTGAACAATTGAGGAAGAAGTACATAAAACGCAAATCAGCAAGACAAATGTGTCTAATAAAGTAGGAGATTTTAGATGTATAAAGTAGGTTGAAAAAACCATTCGAGCTGCGAATCGTAAAATTTTATTGAATGCAGCTAGAAAAAACCATTTCAAAGAATAAGGAACTTGATAAACAACGAATGAACAGAATGAGGACTATATAACCGACACAACGAAATTCAAGCAAAACATCAGTGATCATTAGCGTAATTAATAGCAGAGATCACCAATTTAGGCATGCCGTTACGAATTAATGACTTATGGCAGGAAATGATATGAGTAATTCGATTAAAATACAGATAAGTAAACTCACTCTCAATGGTGAATCAAATACCAAGCAACTGGCCATAAAATGAAATTTAAAAACAGTCTATAAAGGAAGGCGTGCTATAAGCGACTTAAAAAATACGAGAGACATCTTCCTTACAAAATATTATAAGTAAAATAGTGAGAGAACTAATCTGGCCAACGTAAGACAGAAATTTGGACACTTGCCAAAAACCAAGTGAGTGGGGAAGAGGGATTTAGCCACAAACCGCCGACCAATTTATTGATACTAAGGCCATTATTGATAAACAACAGGGAACAAAGAAAAACATCACAGTTATTATTGGGGTATCCACAAAATGTTTGATAGTCTATGGTTAAAAAGACGCATGGTAGGAATTATGGTATAGGGACTGACATCGGACCATTGCTGCGGAATTAATTTTTAAAATGAACGGAAAAAAAGCAATAATCAATTTGAGAAACACCAGTACGGCAAAACGGTATTCATTAACAAAGGAAAAATAACAAGGAATCTACTACTTGGACCAGTCCTATGCCTGCATGACATTGGACTGGTTTAAATTTCTTAATAATGTGAAATACATAATGTTATACAGTGACACAATAGAAATGACCTTTACTATGATATGGGATGATATTCATTAGGAATAGGAGATCACAATAAAACAATTACAAAAATCGCCCTCACTCATGCCACAGATTAGCAGCACATCAAAAAGCATTTAGAATTAATTAAACAAAACAAACACAGAATGGTCATGAAATTCTCAATAAAGAAAGCGATAGAGGAAGGAGAGTATATTTACTTAGGAAATCAGCGGTAATAAACACAAATGCACTAAATATACATATCTAGCGCGACATTCTATTTATCGACAAAGGGTGTTTGAAGACATGATAAAGGCACGATCAATAATGTAGAATTCTCATGATGAGAAATCAGTATCAGGGACCAGAGTGAGCAAAATTATTAACAATACCATAAGAAGCAAGAGTCAATTATAATGAAATGTACAGTAATACCTTCTTTCTGAAACAACCAGTGAAACGTGTGGACCAAGCATAAACTAGAAGAATCTGAAAAGTTGGAGGGCTTTCAACATTGAGATGTCTACGTAAAATAATAAAAGCCCATAGTAAAACACCATTGAGACATTAAGCGATAGGTTGGGAATTTTACCAATAACGCATAAAATAGCATACAAAAAAACTTAATTGCTATTCAATATATAATTAAGTTGGAAAACAATACGATTAATGAAGAAATTTTTATACAGGCAGACTCAAAGGAGGAAGAAACTAGCGAAATGAAATCCAAATAATCCCTAGATGAATACGAACCTAGAATATCATTTACCAGCAAAAAGAGCGCTGGAAAAACAAGTCAAAGATCGCTACTACTAAAACGAAGTAATTAAAACAGACAAATTGAAACACTCCAGAAGGCAAACAAAAATGAATGATAAACATCGAAACATACGGATTGAAGGATATATGAAAGTAATTAATCATTTAACAGATTCCGTGTATTTGCCATCTTAATTGAAACTTGCATGATTGAAACCGTAAAAGGATACTTGAAAATAATCTTAGCGATGATAAGTGTATAGACTTGTAATAAACGATATGAAAGAAGATATGGAACATTATTAATTGTTGATACGTTATTGAAAATATTAAGGCCAAGGGACAGAAATAGCATAATTGGGAGAAGGACAACCATGCCATGGACTATTAAAACCAAATCATAGATCCTATATACGGAAATTCTGGCGCATCCGCTGACGGCTAACATGTTAGCAGAATTAGAGGCGATCGTTCTTATCCCTATTGTTATTTCTAGGACTGACCCCGCACTCGTTTGATTCGCGAGTGCCTTGTGAAATACAAGAGACAGCGGAACCAGATACAAGATACAAGCATACTGATCTCTATAAATATAATCTGATAGCGCTTGGCCTTTCGCGCTAACATGAAAAGTGTTAGGCCACAGCGGCCATCTCACCACTCACTAGAAGCGAATCTGCCGGCCTGTCCCCACCAAAATTTCAAATGAAAAACATAAGAAAACGCGACTTATTACTATTATTCAAATTAGCATGAAAAAAAAACTGATCCAATACTTAAGAGATTATATAAATATGGATATGTTATAGATAGATACCATGCTTATGGAGCTAGGAACGAGAACATACCACGAAAAATAAAAAAATTTTTTTAGTGCACGTCACGAGCTTCACGTGCATGCCTAGATCGCAGCCTATTCGTACCAATATAATAATTCTTGGTACCATTTGCTATAACAAACAAATCTGACTGAAGTCACAGGCACTTGGACCGTTCAATAATAAAATGATGGTTACTTAAATACACTTGTCAGCCATACTACTCAGTACTACTAGTAACCAGCAATAGTCTTAGATGTTTGATTTTGACCTAGATACTTCACTTCAACCAT